GGCACGGTGGTTTAGTAGACAAACATGAAGTAATCTTTTCAGATGGGACTTGTTCTGCTGGCAGGAGTGACTCAACGGAATTTACAGGCTCAGTGTCCCCAGCTTCCTGATTATCTGCCCATATGTCACCATCCCAAGTCTCAGGATCCCATCTCTTCCCAATCAATGCCCTTACTTTAACCTCAGACACCTCTCGATGTTTGCAATTGAGCTGGCGTTGTAATTCAGCCACTCTTACGTTAAGACTCTGGGTTTGGTTTTTAGCAATTTCGGCTCTGTTACTACAAGAAATAAGGCTTTCTTTCAAAGCACAAGTGGAAGCCTTGCGGTCACGTATGCGGCACTTGAGCCTTGACTCTGAAGCCCTGAGCACATCTCTTTCCTTCATCAGTTTGTCTAGCGAAAGTAGGACAAACCAACTAGCTTCCTTATACTTCTCATTCTGACAAAGCTGTAGAAAGATATCAGACGTGTGTTCACCCTGAGCCTCACCTTTTACCAGTACATGATCTACTGGTGGTAATATTTTGCGTATTTGTATTGCCACCTTGCTCCACAGACTAACTGACCTCTTTCCTGCTGGAAGCAGAGTCATCAACGTCTTTATGACTAACCAGGCTTGAGAACCAATTTAGAAAACTCATCCTTACAATTTTGTTTCTCTAGAACCACTCCCGGTACCAAATGTCTTAGGCTGGGTTCTCTAGAGAAGCAAAACCAGTAAAGTGTATAAATATATAGAGAGAGTGAGATTATATCAAGGAAACAGCTCACGCGATTGTAGAGGCTAGAACATCCCAAGTCCAAGTCTGTGGATCAGGGTGGAGGCTTCTCCCAAGTCACACAGCTGCAGAAGCTGGCAAGCCCAAGATCGGAAGGTCGGAGAGCAGGGCTCCTGCTCACAGGCTGTGCAGATCGACGAATCCCAGGTTTGGCAGATAAGCTGACAGCTGAAGTCCCAAGAATGGGAGATGAGACGACAGGAAGCAGCCACAGGATCCGGAGAGAGCAAAAAGCCAGAAAGTCTGCTTATATACAGATGCGGGCCACACCCCGAAGGAGACTCCTTTCCGTCTTATTGACTAATCGTGGAGTGATTACATTAAAACACAGAGAATCATGGCGCAGCCAAGCTGACACAGAATCTTAACCATCACACATACCCACTAAACTGGCTAAAATAAAAAAGATGGAAAAGTTTGCAAGGATATGGGACGACCAGAACTCTCATACACCGAGTATAAATTGGTAAAATTATTTGGAAATGTGTTTGGCAGTATGGTACTAAAACTGAACATATGTATATCCTGTGATCCAACAATTCCACTTGTAGTCATATATCCAACAGAGATGCTTAGATATTTGCTAGGATGTTTATAGCAGCATTATTTTTAGTAGTGGAAACTTGGAAACTACCCAAGTACCCAAATGCAGTTTCTTGCAAAAATTGATTTTGTTCTTCTATAACAGGTGACCAGAGAATGGAGAGAAAAGTAAGCAGAATCTGTCTTGCTTCTGAACCCAATATAATTATTTTTCTACAGGTAGAATAATGGATAAATAAATTGTACTATATGCATACAAGGGAATACTATACAGCCATTAGAATGATCTACAACTATAAAAAACAATATGGATAAATCTCTCAAACAAAAGAAGTCAGACACAAAAGAGAACATGCTGTATGATTCTAATTTACGTAAAGTACAAGAACAATCAACACTCTGATCTCTGCTAGAGGTTAAAACCGAAAAAAGCCATTGCTGTCGAGTCAATTCTGACTCATAGTGACCCTATAGGACAGGATAGAACTGCCCCATAGGGTTTTCAAGTAACAGCTGGTGGCTTTGAACTGCCGACCTTTTAGTCAGCAGCTCAGTTCTTAACCACTGCACCACCAGGGTGGTTATCTTGGGAGGTAGTGACTTGAAGAGAGTATCAGAATGAGTTCTGGAGTGGTAATGTGCTTTTTGATCTAGGTATTTCATAGTGGATTCATTCAATTTGTGAAGTTCATTAAAGTGTATTGTTATGATAGATATACTTTTCTGTGTGTATTTAATACTTCAGTACAGTATTTTAAAATGCAAAATATTTATTTGCCTCAGTCTGTGATAGTTCCATACAACCCATGTCCATTATAGGGAAGCTCCTGTCTCAGTGGCTAGAGTGTCTGAGTCACTGAACCTGGGTACCCCTTTCTTAAAGAAGGCATCACTGGGAATTCTTGGGGTCTGAGATTTTCTTACTCTGTGCTTTGTGTTTATACTGCCTTTTTATTTCACACGGTCTTTCTTTAGACAGAGTCTAAGACACTTGACCAAATTTATCCTCACTAATTACGATCACATTCAAGTCATGAGATTACTCCCAGGCCACTCACACAAGTTCTCGTAATCATTTCTTTTGTTCCAGGAAAAAGTTTATTGACTCTTGGGGAAAAGAAAAGGTAAAATTTATTCTTATTTCTGGAGATAGTAATTTTTATTCAGCTACATGATTTGGGCAATCATTTACTATGTATGGGCCTCTGCTTTTCGTATCTGTAAAACATTTGAATCAATATTGAACAAAAGTATGACTTAACTGAGGTCAATGGCTGACTAAGTCTATTATACAGTTTTTTGTTTTACTTATTTCCTTGCTGTTTTGTATAGCTGAGAGACCAGTAAAGAAAATGTCACTATTGATAGTCACAGTTTCTTGCAAAAAATGTTAATTTTGTTTTTCTGTAACAGGTGACCAGAGAATGGAGAGAAAAGTAAGCCGAATCTGTCTTGCTTCAGAACCCAATATAATTCATTTTCTACAAGTATCTTGGGAGAAAACACTAGGATCTGGTTTTGTTGTTACACTTACTGATGGTCAGTCAGTGTGGACTGGGACAGGTAATATTAAAAGCAAATTTTTTTTTAAAGTAAAATTTTAATAATATGCTTGTATTCTTCAGTCCTCAGTGATACTTCAAATTAAAGTGTCTTAAAATAGGTATTTGGATAAAAGTAATGTGATTACTTTTACGTTATTGCTACTTAATGTATACACACATTTTTAATATTTAATGCCACTTTCTATGATTTAATAAGATAGAGAAATAGCAGGTGCCCCAGGAAATTCAGGTTACCAGCTGAGTCTTAGTAGTTGGACTTTTTGGTCTGAGATTTTAAATGATTTCTTTATAGAAAATGTAAGTAGCAATTTTTATGAGTATCTCCGCAGGACTCCAGGGAAGTATTAGGAGGCAGAGGAAGCGTGGTGGGGTGGGTTGGCTGGGCCAAGGATTTGTGATGGCTTAGAAGCGTGGAGTGGTAGCGGTTTTCTTTTGACTTTCTACACTTAACATTTTTCAGATTATTTCCCAATGAACATATACTGTGTTTGCAATCAAAACAAAATAGGATTCATAGCCTAAAATTTTGTAATACAAAGTTTAAACTCACATATGGGATTTTGGCTGTTATTTTATGAAACATTTAAAATTGCAATACATTGTGAAACTTTGTTTCTTTCTGTGTTACAAAATTCTGTTATCCCACACAGTCAAAATTAAATTTATGCGTTCAAGTTTTTTTGTCTTTTATGACAGAGAACAAGGAGTGTTGCTGTTAAGATTATTGTAAAATAAAGAACTTTCAAGGGTAATGTTTATAATTCTTATTATGGTTTTTAAGCTGTAATTTTCTATGTAAGAGAAATTGGTTATGTTGGTTGATTGTTGTAATGCAGGGGTGGAGGGAACTTTTTCAGGTTAGCTCTATATGTGGTGGTGAAGTTGCAGCTAGATAACAATAGCTATTGTCTTTGGGTGATGGGATTGCATAAGGTTAAAGACTACAATAATAGGTTAATGCTGGTCATCTGGGGGAGACAACAGTTCTAACAGCACAACCCTGAGCCAGGTCTTATGTGAAGTGGTTGCTTATATGTTAAGGAATACTGTATTTATAATTTAGATATTTATAACTGGTAGATAGCTTATTCTGTGTATTGAGAATTAATGCCCAGACAGATGACTTTGAGGTGCTTCAAGAGCCTTAATTATAAAATAAAAATATTAAATTCTGATCTAGTCAATAAACTTGATTCACCAAATCTAGGAATAGTAATAGTATGTTAAGAATTTTTATCATTAAAACACTGGGGAAAAGAGTGTTCTGATTAACTCTTAAATCTTCTTTAACCAGAAATTTAAGTTGACTTAACATTTATAGGACATTTTATTTATGCTATAGAAAATGTTCTGGCAATTGTTCTTAAAATTAATAGTGTTAATGTGGCTATTGTTTCACTGGATTAGATCCCTTGAGGACAAGGAACACATCTAATTTATAAACCATTCTGTGTAAATATCTACACCATGTTTTAACACTGATAACGCTCAATGAGTATTTTCTGAACGAACGAATGAAAGGATTCCCCAGATATATAAAACCAGTTAGGCGAGAAACAAAATCAATCATTTTAGTTTAGTGCTAGCATGTTTTTGAATGAAAATCCTTTCATATTTATTTATTGTTGACATTGATCATAAATGCAGTATTCTACTGTTTATTTTCCAGCAATGAGAATTTAGTGTGACAAAAATGTAATACCAAACTTCTGTATTCTCTGGTGGGTTGTTAACATTTTGACTTCCTGTACTGGACAGGCTTTCAAACAGAAAATTTTATAATACACTTTATCTGGCCGTTTTATTTTCAAAGATAACTACTAAAGTTTTAAATCTTACATATGTTGTATGCCTTTCAATATTCGTTTTTTTTCTTATTTTAAATTTGAAGAACAAGATATGAAACCAAAAGATATATAACTTCGTTTCCAAGTTAAGTCTCATTAAGTAAATGCAATTTAGCACTTTATTGATAGAAAATAACATGATTAAAAACATTGAACCAATTAAATAATTAAAATGTATTTAATTGAATTTCCTTCCTATACCTCATCCTGTTTTTTGTACAGCTTGCTGGTTGTTGCAACCTTCAATTTGGATAATTTTTTCTTTTCTCTTTTCATTTGAGTGAAATTAAAAGGATATGGAGTTCCTTTTAATCTCCCACACACTGAAATCACTGATTTTGTTTCCATTAGCAATGTTTTATCTAATGAATGTACTTTCGGTCTAATTATCATGGGGTTGATCATCACCTCCACATTTTACAGGTTTATATCACAGGGTTAAGTCACAAAGGTGGCTAATGACTGATGATTATTGTGTGACTTTCATAGAGTTGTTACCAGCAGTAAGAAACTTAACATCACCCATATCTGGAGTAAGTTTGTTGAAAAGTAAATTAAACTTCCTTAATTCTTTTATTATCAAATAATTAGATCAAATTATATTTGTCCTAAACATAGATGTTTGGTGACCTGTAGAGAAATTATGTCACAGAACTCAGTGGAAAGAGGATTTTTAATAAATGAAGTAGTAGAGCGGGTCGGTGATGTGATACCATCAAATGCCTAATGGGATGACAAGGCTATATGCCTTGAGCTTGGACACAAAACTTTGGATATGATTGGGGGAAACTCCACAGTCTTTCAGTTGTACAATGAGATCCAAAGCAAAAAGTCTTCTTTCCTTTCTTACATATTCATCTACCCACAAATAATGTTAGAGTGACACTGTTTTGGCTCTTGTTTGTCTGAGAACAGTTGCCTGTTTTGGATCATGTTGGCCTGCTCACCTCTTATAGCCATATTATGTGGTTTAGCTACATCCCTGTTGAATTTTATTGTTTCCATTGCTTTTATTCCTAGTGTCTGGGGATGTTGGAGAATAGAATGCTTACAGCTGCCCTTTTTCCAGAAGTAACACAAAATTCAAAACTGGTGACCAAGTAATTTTTCCAGGATTAAGGTTCTAAATATCCAGTCGTATTTTCACGTTCACTCTTGATAAGAAATGTTTAAGTGAACTTTTTTTTTTTTTTTTAAACTGGTGCCTTTTACACATTTTTAAGACGAGAAATATAAATAGATGATTTTCTTGATTTCCTTTCATATGTTTTCTAGTTCTGAAAAGTGAAACATTTCATAGTAGTTACAGCGTTCATAGGTAGTTCTTGTAAGTTGCCATCGAGTTGATTCCACCTTATTGTAACCCCGTGAGTGCAAAGTATCACTGCTCAATAGGGTTTTCAAGGCTATTAGCTTTTGGAAGCAGATTTCCAGCCCTGTCTTCTGAAGTGCCTCTGGATAGTTTCGAACTGCCAACCCTCCGTAATGTAGTCGAGAACTTAACTATTTGTACCACCTAGGGACTCCTAGAATAATTCTATAACATGTGGCACTTGAATGTAATCTCCATAAGGGCTGGAAGATTTGTCTTTTCACTGTTCTATCTCAGGTGCCTAGAATTTTGCCCGGCACATAGTAGGTGTTTATTAAAAATGTTTTTTTCCTTTTATTGTACTTTAGGTGACGGTTTACAGAACAAATAGTTTCTCATTAAACAGTCAGTACACATACTGTTTTATGACATTGGTTAACAACTACACAACATGTCAACCTTCTCCATCCTTTTTTTTTTTTGGTGAAAATATACATAGCCAAAGATACACCATTTCGAAAATTTCTACATGCACAGTTCAGTGACATCGATTACGTTCTTCCAGCTGTGCTGCTATTCTCACTTTAGATGATGGTTTACAGAACAAAATAGTTTCTCATTAAACAGTTAGTACACATGTTGTCCTATGACAATGGTTAACAACCACACTACATGTCAACACTGTCCTTGCTCAACTTTGGGTTCCCTGTTACCAGCTTTCCTGTCCCCTCCTGCTTTCTAGTCCTTGTCCCTGGACTGCTGGGCCTCGTTAGTCCTGTTTTGTTTTATGGGACTGTCCAATCCTTGCCTGAATGGAAAACCTCGGAAGTGACTTCACCACTGAGTTAAAAGGGTGTCTGGGGGCCATACTCTCGGAGTTTCTCCAGCCTCTTTCAGGCCAGTAAGTCTGGTATTTTTTGTGTGTGTGTTAGAATTTTGTTCTACATCCTTCTCCAGCTCTGTCCAGAAACCTTTGTTGTGATCCCAGTTAGAGAAGTCAGTGACAGCCAGGCACCATCTAGCTGTAGTGGACTCAGTCTGGTGGAGGCTGTGGTAATTGTGGTCCTTTAGTCCTTTGGACTAATCTTTCCCTTTTGTCTTTGGTTTTCATTCTCCCTTGCTCCAGACAGGTGAGACCAGTGGAATATCTTAGATGGCTGCTCACAGGCTTTTAAGACCCCAGATGCTACTCACCAAGGTGGAATGTAGAACATTGTCTTTATAAACTGTGTTATGCCAATTGAGCTAGATGTTCCCTGAGACCGTGGTCCCCACAGCCCTCCACCCAGCAATTCAGTCCCTCAGGGAGTTTGGATGTGTCTATGGAGCTTCTGTGACCTTTCCTGGTACAAGCTGTGCCGGTTTCCCCAGTATTGTGTACTGTCTCACCCTTCACCAAAGACACCACTTATCTATTGCCTATTTAGTATTCCTCCCACCCCTCCCATCCCTGGTAACCAACAGATTGTTACTTTTTGTGTGTAAACTGTTTCATGAGTTTTTACAATAGAAGTACAATATCTGTCCTTTTGTGATTGACTTATTTCACTCAGCATAATGTCCTCCAGTTTCATCCATGTTATGAGATGCTTCACAGACTCATCATTGTTCTTTATCGTTGCATGGTACTCCATTGTATGTATGTACCATAGTTTGTTTATCCATACATCTGTCGATGAGCGTCTAGGTTGTTTCAGTCTTTTTGCTATTGTGAACAGTGCTGCCATGAACATAGGTGTGCATATGTCTATTCGAGTGATGGCTCTTATTTCTCTAGTATATATTCCTAGGAGTGGGATTGCTGGATCATATGGTATTTCTGTTTCTAGCTTTCTAAGG